GACAATAAATTACTTTCTCACCCCACTAGGGATTCATGAAGATCAATAAATGTTTTTGTGCTAATACTGTAATGTTAGTGCTAATGCATTAGTACAATGTAATACACTAATCTACATATATTAAATGTTTATTTACATTATAAGTACATGTGTAACTATAATACCTAAAATACCATGAGGATGAACAGCATAAGAAAACTAATGAGGAAATGAACAGAAGTTTTCAGCACAAGTTTGATTCATATGCAGCAAATACAGCTCAGGGCCACTCCCTGTATGCATAGTATTGGGTAGCTTCCCTTTGAATGAGTACCTCGTGGTCTGTGCCCTAAGTACTGTGCCTCCCAATCTGTCCCAAGGTTAATAATGTTCTCTTAGCTCTGTTCCCTGTGTACAGCTCCTAGGTTCTGAATAAGTGGCGTGCAGAGATGGCTGCTTTGGCATTGAGTAGCCTGTGGGTTGATCCCATGAACGAGGCCTTTAGCTCCCCCCTACAGACCTCTGCCAGCTGTACAGAGAGTAGCTGCCAGAGCAAATGGAGGACTCATTGGAAAATTTGCTTTTTCAAGTTGGCAGATGTACTGGAATAACCTATTTTATCTGCTAGGAAAGCCTTGTGAAGCCAGGAAGTGGAGAACACTTGCTGCAAAAGAAAGCTGAGGGAACGAGGCACTGCCTCATGAATCCATCACATGGATTTTGATTTGAGGGGAGAGAAGTGGATGTTGTCTCCCTGGACTTCAGCAAGGCTTTCAACACTGTCTCCCACAACATCCTTGTAGGCAAACTCAGGAATGTGAGCTGGATTAATGGACAATGAGGTGGGTTGAGAACTGGCTGAGTGGCAAATCCCTGAGGGTCATGACCAGCTCACAGGGTCTGGTTGGGGCCCTGTCACTGGTGGTGTCCCCCAGGGTTCAATGCTGGGCCCAGTCTGGTTTACCTAATTCATCAATGACTTGGAGGAAGGGGCAGAGGCCTCCTCAGCGAGTTCCTGCAGACACAAAGCCAGGAGCAGTGGCCCATTCCCCAGAGAGCTGTGCAATCCTTCAGAAGGGCCTGGACAGGCTGGAGAGAAGGGCAGAGAGGGACCTTCTGAAATTGAACAAGGGCAGGTGCAGGTCCTGCTCCTGGGGAGGAACAACCCCCTGCAGCAGCACAGGCTGGGGGCTGAGCTCTTGGAAAGCAGCTCTGTGGAGAAGGACCTGGGGGTCCTGGTGGAACACAAGCTGTCCAAGAGCAGCAGTGGCCAAGAAGGCCAATGGGATCCTGGGGTGCATTTGGAGCAGCATTGCCTGCAGGCCGAGGCAAACGATCCTGCCCTTCTACTCAGCCCTGGTGAGGCACATCTAGAATTCTGTGTCCAGTTCTGGGCTCCTCAGGACAAGAGAGACTTGGAGCTCCTCAAGCAGGTCCAGCAGAGAGCTGCAGAGATTACTGAGGAGCTGGAGCATCTCAGTTAGGAGGAAAGGCTGAGGCAGTCTGGCCTGTTCAGCCTCGAGAAGAGATGAATGAGAGGGGACCTTATCAATGCTGTAGGTGTGTGACAGGAGGGTGTCAGAGGATGGAGCCAGGCCTTTCTCAGTGGTGCCAAGCAGTAGGAAAAGAGGCAATGGGTAGAAACTGATGCACAGGAGTTCCACCTGAACATGAGGAAGAACTTTCTGTGAGGGTGACCGAGCACTGGAACAGGCTGCCCAGAGAGGGTGTGGAGTCTCCCTCAATGGAGATATTCAGGATCTATACAGACACAATCCTGTGCCATGTGCTCCAGGATGGCCCTGAAGGTTGAACCAGAAGACGCACTGTGACCCCTTCCAAACTTGCCCATTTCATGATTCTGTGATTTGTCAATAAGCTTTAAACTGGCTAACTTTGGCTGGATTTTATTTGGAATGGTAAATAGTACACTAGTAATTTGACAGCCTGTTGTTCTCAGTCTGTGCTTCAAACATAAAGGTTCCTGAGCTGTCCAAAGAAAAGGCAGTAATACAAACTATAAAAACAAAGTACAGAACTTTCCTTAGCCTTTTTTGAATTTGTCAGAAAAACATATACTAGTATATTCATACTAGTAATTTTGACAATTACTCAAAATTTTGTTGCAAAGCAAATGCCCATGATGGAAAAATTCCAATTTAGCCAAAGAGCTAAAGGCTAAAATTTAGCAAACTGTGAAGAAAAAATTACAAGGTCTTGCAAGCCTAAATAATGGGCAACCTTAGTAATAGGTGGCATTTGCCTGTAACATAGAATACAGCTTGGAAATAGTATCTCTCCTATTCCTTCTGGCTTCTCTAGTGATGTTTTTACAGAAAGTATATTTTTTCCCGAAGTTTATTAATCCATTCTGATTTTGTTGGAGCAGAATGAAGGCAGGAATCTCCTATTATTTGAGAATACTCTGTATTCTCAAACTGTTTGTCATGTCTAACCTACATATCAGCTTTATACCCACCTTTTGATATTCCACTGGAATTTAACAAATGAAGCAGATATTAATATTAATGAAAAAACAGAAATTTCCATACATTTGTTGTCTGTTTTCATCAGGTGTCAGACATTACAGTGAGAGACGCCAATTTAAGAATCTAGACAGATTTAGGTAATTTCCTTGATGCTTGATGGCTATAATTAAATTAATTCTGGGAATCTGCACTGGCACTTCTGCCATACTGTGATTGTGGCCTCCAAGTTCCTAGTTATAAAGTTTTTAATGTTTTCTCTGCCACCTAGAACTGTGTGGGGACCAAATTCATGTTAATTTTGTGGCTGCAGTGCTAAAGAAGGATATGCAGAGGGAAAGGCCTGGCTGTCTCCGAAAGCCACCCGTAATCCTCTCTGAGCTGAACCACATGTAAGTGTCAATAAGCATACTTGGGAGCATGGGGGCAGCATAGTTGGCCAGGTAGGGCAGTAAATTTAGGGAGCCACCACCCTGTATGGCACCCTGCCTTTGAAAATAGCACAGTAATAAATAATGCATGCTGGTGTGCCGACCAAGCTAGCTTCACCCTGTCCAGACCTGTTGGTACAATGTGCTTTTTTGTCTGTCTGGAAGTATTCTGCGTCTTAGCCACCAAAGCTGTCTCTGCCCTTAGGAGCTGAAACAGAAAAGGCCAACAGTCACACAAACAGAAAGTGACATTCCAGTCTCAGTACCACACTGGAACCATTTATTTTCTGCTTTTGCTGATGTCCTTTCTAGCAAAAGGAAAATTCTGCTTTCCCTGTCTATGTTGAGATCCAGTGGTCACATCCTCCTGTGGTGCTTCTGCAGCATATAGATGAATTTCCATGTGATTCTTTAATCTCCCATGTTTTGTTCAGTGGCCTAATGTAAGACTTGGGTTTCTTCTTAAAGGTACCCTACCTGGGAAGGAAAGTGCTCTTTACTGCTTGCTAGTTCTTTGCTTAGCTTTTCCTGCTCTGGACTAATTGTTCATGCTGATATCATGCTAAGGCATTATTTTGATGATGAAAGCTATAAATACTCATCAAGACATGACTTGGTATGCAAATACTTGGACTCAGTGACATGAACACTTAGAGAAATCTTGTAAGTGCTAGGCCTATCAAAATAGTTGCCTAGCTGTCTGCAGGGACAACTTCAGTCCTTCAGTCCTTGGTGTTGTAAATGCAAGACAATGAAGCTCTCCAAGATGGGTATTTACAGTCTTCCTTCTTCCTTAGGGACAACTTTCTTTGATAGGTGAGACTCAATGGAAGCCATGGAACTTGACCTAATCTGGGTGAGAAATAATGGAATCTTCCCAAGCAACACTTGTACACAGGTGCACCTTATCTATGTGATCAAAAGGAACTTAGTTTTTAATTGTTGGTAGTGTGGATGATAGGAACAAAGGTGACATTCCTTGAGTCTGAGATCCATTATTTATCTTGAAATCAGGTTCAGCATAAATAGTATTTGTGAAATATTTCCTCTACATTGACAATGAGCCTTGATTAATAATTAATAATATCTCTGGATGTTGAAGGACAATCCATTTCCTGTGCTTGGTAAATCTAGCACTGAGAACTCCTGTCAGCATCTGTCAGGGGAAGATTTATGATGAGATTTGGGACCAAAAATGAGCAAAGACTAGAAAATTCACTTCACACAGACCACTGAACAGTCACTGAATAATAATTTTTAGCATTTCTTGGTTTATACATACAAATTAATGAAACCTCAGAACCTACCCACATTTTAGCGCGTTTTTAACTCTTTCTGTGTTGGTGCCTTGTTTGACTAGTGAAATAATGAGAAACAGATGAGGTTTCCTATTTTCATTTGGGCACCTGGTTTCCTGCTCAGGTTCATGGTTGCAGGCTGGAGGAGTAACTCACATGTGGTCAAGGAAAACTCTGGACTAAGCACATCTACCGATTCTCTGCCCTGCTGACCTGCATATAGCTGAACTTTCATACTCAACCCCATATACCCCCACACTGATTATTTTTTCCCTCATTTTGTTTCTTACCTACTCTCAAATACCCGAAAGACCAATAGACCACCCTTTCATGCATTTTTCGGGATTCTCAATGTATAAAAGAAAGGTCTGAGCTCATCACATGGGCTCACCGATTCTGCCTCCCTGTCAGCACATCCATCTCCTAATGTTATTTCCAGACTAATTTTAATTTAGGACATTCCTGCTATAACCTTCTCCCCATTCCAATTATGATCTCCCTATCTACCTGAAATAACCTCAATTTAAAAAATAAAATAAAAATGAAGTGATGGTCTTAAAAAAACAACTACAAAGAAATCAATCCCTCATCCATTACCAGGTTTTTCTTTTGTTCTGGAGCCACGCGTGTAACCCGGTTAGACCTGTTCTCTTTGAATGCCGAGGACTGAGCTGGCCTTATGCAAACGCTCTCAACCTCATCTTGGTTGTTGTCGTTGCAGGTCCAATCAAATGAACAGGAAGTGACCTAAGGAATTCCCCTATTGGCTGCTTGAGTGTTCAGCAAAATGTTTTAAAATTAGTATCACATCCATTTATCTTCACTCCTGGGAGTCTTTAGTTGACATAACCTAGTACCTGTGCTTACCCAACCTACTGTTCTGTAGACAGTTTTCCCATTGCCTCTGTTCAGGATTTCCACTCCAGAATCTTCAGCTAAATGAGGTAAGGTGTTTGGGGTATTTATTTTCTTTTCTTAAATGCAGTTCATTTAAAATAACACCAGTGACAATAATTAAAAAAAAATAAAAAAAATTGTCTGCTGGACTCCTGGCCATTATACCAAGCCTCTCCCTTCCCATTTTGGAACAGCAGCTAAGGTCATTTATTCAAAAGGCTTTTTAATGTTGCAATAAAGATTTCTGCTTTCCTGGTTTGAACTTGTATGTTCTATTTAAGTATTTCTGTTGTGTATACATTTGAATGGGGCCAGATCCTGAGAATATTTTCTATTATGATGAATATAATAATATTCCCGGTCCTAAACATGCTACTTTTGTCAACAGAATTTTCATCTGTTCAGTAAGACAAGGGGTGAAAAAGTGGACTTTCTCAATGCTATGGAGAGTCCTTGTGTCACAGAACTGGGATACACTCCACAATGACTGTGTTTTGGTTCATTTTAGTGATGAGGATGTTGATGGACATGGTGTTTGTAACAAAAAACCCTAAAGTAGATTTATAATTTGGCTTGGTTTCAGCCTCAAGGCAGTTTCTTGGCAGTTGTATGGTGAAGGAGGTTCTGCTGATCTTAGTTCTGTCTAAGCAAAAACTGCACAGAACCCAGCTCAGGCACTGGGTAGGTAAATATAGTGTGAGGCCCGCAGTGTTTCTGCTTGTTTAATTTGTTTCTGTTCCAATGGTAATTTTATTTTAATAGAACCAGAACTGGCCCCTTAAGGTATAGACGCAATTGTTAAGGTAGTTGTAAAAGAGACTGTGAAGAAAAAGTTGCTCCAAATCTGTGTTGATTTTGTAAAATATGTGTAATGGACTCAGTGACAAATGTTTGCATTTCACCCCGTGAGACATTTTAGGTACATACTTGTGTGTATATTGTTATAGAGTTATTCAATTATATCAGTAATGTGCTTTTTGATTACTATCTAAAGGCATATATTGTGTTTGCTTCTAAAGTACATTCAACTATCCTTTCTTTCCTACCTTTGCCATTTTTTAGAACTAAACAACTGCTAGAATTAAACAAGCTCATAATGACAGAAATGTACCTTGAGGTAAAAGTTTCATTTAGTCATTTTATTTATACTTGTCTCACTTGATGCCGTGTTAAACAGATCTAACATGCACCAGTATTTCCTGCAATTTGTGAAAACTTAAGTAATATTAAATAATGTGCTCCTCTAAGTTTTGCTTTGATGGGAAATCTGCATGGTGTTGTTTAAGCCAGTTGTGTGACATCTATTTTGCACTGTAGAAAATATCAGAGCTGGAAAATATAGCAGTTTAATATTTAATGCAAATGCAGAAATCAAAGAAAAAGGCTGCAATTAAAACTAGAAAAAAACCAGGATTAAGGTGTTTCACTTACAAATATCACAATGACAGTTTAATTCCTGCCCCACACAATTTTCAAAACCAAGTGATTGTTGCAATAGTAACATAAGACTTGCCAGAATTTTTCAGAGATAATTATGTGACTTCAAGCAAAGCATATATTTTAGAAAACTTCCAATCTTGAAAAATCAAGTCCAGAAGTCCAGTAATGGGAAATTCCCCAGAATGTTTTCAAGTGCCCCAGCAATTAAATACCATTCTTCTAAAAATATTTTATCTCATTTTCAGTCTGACATGGTCTTGCTTTAACATTCAGCCGTCTGATTTTGTTGTCTTTTGATGGTTATTGGGAAGTTCCCCTGGGTAGGAAATTTCTGTTCCCTGTGTGGTTAGCTGGGGACAAGTTCTTTCTTAGCCTAGTCTCTGATAATTGTGGTAGTTTGAGCTCCAATGCCTGTTCCTTTTTATGGAGAAACATGCAGTACAGTGAAGGATCTTAACATGTTTCACTGTAAGCTTTTCCATCCTTTAATCACTTCAATTCTCTCCTCTAATTTTTCAACATTAGCTGTGAAATTTGGATGTCAGGATGGATCAGAGTCTGTAGCGTGCCAAACAGAGATATTATGAGTCAATATACTGGGAATTCCAGTTCAGGGGTTTATGAAGTGTGCCCAAGGCTTTCTTAGAGCAGCCGTCCTCCAGACACCCTTTTCCCCCTTGAGCACTGGTCCTGTATGCAGGGACTAGGTTATCATTAGCAGAGTCACTGTTCCCTTGCATTTAGCATTTCTTTTTTTTTTTTTTACTCCAAGTGTCACTTGTAAAGCCTATAACAATGGTAAAAAATATGTATTTTCCCCAAGTGCTGATAATAAAAGCTCTCAGATCAGAATATCTCTTTGCTTGCCCCAGCACAAGTTAGGTCGTGCTTCACAACCACCTATAGTGTGAGAACCATATATTTACCCCAGCTGTGGTGAGATCAGGTAGTAGAATGTGGTCTGCTTTACACGGGATATTATTACCTTCTTGTCACCTGAGAGAATATGCTGTGGTATTGCCACAGTAATTTCTTATTACTTTCGATATTCTCGGGGTGTTGTGGGTTATCAGCAGTGGTGGAAACAATGGGACAGCTGGACAAGTGAAAAATCAAATCATTTGGCTCCCACTCAACTACCTTAATTTTTATCATTTCCAATGAATTTTCTTGTTAACATCTGTACTTGTTCTGTCTGGGAAGTGCAAGGTAGCAAGCTTCAGTGAAAAGAGATCAAACTAAAAAATAATCATTCAAAAACACAGATGGAGAGAGATTAGAGAGGAAAAAGAAGGATTTCTGTATGTGTGTCTGTGTTCGGGCAGCAGGGATATGTTAGTCTGTTGCGTGTCCCACAGCAATTTGTGCCAAACTCCCCTATGAGATTGGAATTCTACACCTGCTGAAGAAGTGTGTATTTATGTACAATTCTCACAGAAAAGGATTAATGATTTTATTGACTCAGCAAACGCAGAGAACTGCTCACGAGCCATGACACCTTTCCAGAATCAGCGCTTAGCTTTCCTTCCTTGTTCACCCCTTCCATACTTTTTGTAAACATGTTTCACTTAGTTACAAGACCAAGCCAGGAAAACTTCTTGCTAACCATAATGTAGCCTGGATCTGTTCTGTGGAGTCTGCAATCACATGCTTTCTGTTCCTATTAACTTGTTCAGATTCAATCCTCACGAAATTGTCTGACCTCTTTCTGCAATACTATGAATACCATCTCTGTGAACTGGGGCAATGACCTGCTGGTTGGAAAGTGGGTGCTCCAGGACAGACCTGTCTGGCTTAAAAATTGGTCAGTGTGCTGAGATCAAGACACAGATAGACATGAATGACCCTTTCTTAATCTGAGGGCAATGTGCCCACCCTTTGTAAGATTTTCTGGTCTTACAGAGCTCTCTCATCAGCCTTCCTACAGCTGTAAAGTAGGTATTCTTGCTGGGGTATTAGGCATTCCTGCAACAAGCAGCACGTAAAAAGAAAACAGCCACAAACTTAGCTGTCATTTGTCATTACTAATGACACACAATATTAGGATGTGGTAGAATGAAATGTAAAGGGTTTTTTTTTTTTTCATGTCCGCAAGGAAATGAGCAGAAACACTATTTTTGTAGCTAGCATAGTTTGTGATGTTTAATAAAGTAAAGTGTCTATCCCATCTCACAGTTTCACTACTGCCGAATTTCAGCCATAAGCTCATGAAATTTTCTTCCTAATAATAAGCACCTGTAAGCATTGGTGAAGTTCAGCACCATCTTCAGCAAAGCGCTCTGGCTTCAGCCGCTCAGCCGGTGTCCAAGGGCACTGCAAGATCTCTAACCACGAATGGCTCCGTCTCTCCCTCACTGTCCCTGCCTCAGCACACTCTGCAGCCTACGTGTGTTATGGTCTCTGATGATCCTAGGAAGTATTTCAGTAAATGTTCAAGAAAAAGGTACATAGTAGACTTGGTAACTGTGAAACTCATGAGTAACACTGCAGATCGGAAGGCTAAGCAAAGAAGGATTTGTTCCCACAGGTGGTATACAAAAAAAGTAAGGATTTATTTTTGTTTTTGAGGAAGTCATCAGGAGTCCTAGTATGAGAGCTCCTTTGAACTCTACTGGGGATGCAGTTTGCACCAAATCCCTCATGAATGCCTAGAATACTTGGGGCGTTTGTTGGTCATTGGTCTACAGACGGGTGAGAATGAGTAAACATGGAGTCATGTAGCCAGTGGAGCAATCGACTGGCATTTGGCATTTTGCATGTCTCCCTCTGAGGAAGAGCTCTCAAAGGCTGCCTTTCCAAAAGCTGACATTGCACATGGTTATCATTACCTATTCCTCTGCTGATCTTGTGAAATGTGCTTCATGGGAAAGAGTATGAGACCTAGCAGACAGAACAGCCAACTGGAACTGGGTAATCACTGGTTATAGACCAAATAGATGGGGTAATAAAAGAGAATTGGTTTGTGGTGGTGGAAAAAAATAATTTTACCTAAAGGAGCTACAAAAACATGGAATAAAAGTTCCCACCTATTATGGAGGAAGGACACAGACATAAATATTTGAGATATTTTCTCTACTCACAATCAGATGTAGCCAGAATAGTCTCCTGAGCCCCTGTAAATCTGTAAGCATTAAGAAACTACGTGTAAAAATGTATTCTGTTGCCTAAATTAATAGTGCCGTCACAAGAAGAATTAGTTTTGTTTTTTAAAACCATTTCAGGTTTTCTTTCATTTAGCAGTGAGCAGTTAACTAATTTATGTTGCTATATAGTTAAAGAACCCTTGTAAAACTGCCCAAGATGCTGTGATCCGGAATCGGACTAAGTTCATGATATAGTGATTACCCCCAAACTTTCTTAATGATTTTTACTGCAACATGTAATTATTATTACACAATAGTTTAAAAGCTTGCATCTTGATGATGCACTTTCAAAGTATGCTTGGTTAAGCAATTGTCTCATAGATTGGAGGGGCTTTATCAGGGAGTCAAATTCTGACACACTCAAGGGTGCTGTTCTCATCTCTTTTGCAGTAAGATCTAACATAGCACTCACATGAAAGACTTAATATTCCCAGGCACCTGCCCTGACAGAGGAAGATGAAAAA